AACTTTCAAATAATATATTTGAATATTAACAACATAATAGTACAATTTTCCACTGTATACGCAGGGTAATGTAAGAAGTATTCTGTGACTAGTTACTTGGTAAATCATTATTTCAAAAGTAACTTTTCAGATACATGGAGAACAGTAAAATGGTTTTCGTCCAATGTTTGGTGATGGTCTAATTTACAGTGAGAAAGGTTAGAAACCCAAAAGACTCAATACCTATATTTGATTATAAGAAAACAGTAGCTGAGAAATTATTTAAACATATATACTCAATGTGTGAAGTAATTGTGCTCTAAAAATTATATGCACATGCATATGTGTATATCTACAATACTATGCCAAAACACTGACAGATATGTATTTTGTTTCTCTACATATATGCACATGTAGCCCTACATTCAGGCACCTAAAGAGGTGCACTAAAATTCTAATTCTAAATTAAAAAAAAAAAATACCCAGGACAAAGTAAGGAAAAGGTGTCATTTTTAAACAGCCACTACATGTCACATTCATTCTTCATTCCCACCTCGTGGCCACTGTATTCTATGATGATTTATTTATTCCCATGGTTTTCACAAAAATCTGTCACAATCTTTTAAAGCTGCAGTCTTAATCCTCCAGAATTTCTCACATCTATATCTAAAGGAAACTCCTGAAAATAACTGAGCCCGGAAGTGAAAGAACAGGTTCTACAGCTAAAGACATCTATCTGGGAATGAGTCCTGATCTACTGTTTAAAAACTCTGTTTTGAAAAGATCCTTTAGAATCTAAGGTTAGAGTTATGTCAATCTACAGTCTTATGGTCAGCTTCATACTACCACCTCAAAAGCAACAAGTTATGTCGGTCTGATTCTGAAAGATCCACTTGTATTACTTGATAGCGGATGGTCAGCAGTACAGTCTGATTTTATATAGGCCCCAAAGGCAAAAGAACATTTTGTTGTTGCCATTGAGTAGTACATCCAGTAGTGCACACAACTGTTCATTTTCCGTGGAAGGCAAGGTGGTAAGAGAAACAATGCTACACGCAATGGTTCCAGCTAATATCTTGGCAGATGTGATGAATCAGAAGGAATACTATTAGAAAACTGGTAATAAGAAGTCTGAGGATGGATTATGCCAAAAGATTTCTAGAAATGGGCACAGAAGGGAAAGTATGTCCTACATAAATGTTCTCCAAGGAGATGCAGCAAGGGAGTGTCTTAATGAGGGAGATAGCATAATTCCTTTTGACAGCTATCAGATTCTTTGCAATTATCTTGTGCTTTCACAATGACTCTGAACTAGTGGCCATGCAACAGGAAAGGAAACTATGTACCGACTATATTATACAGATTCGGTTCATCAGAGCTTGTCTGGCTATATCCATTGCTGAGTTCCCAAACTATTAAATGAACAAACCAACACCGTAACTCCAATTGGCACCATTTCCAGAGGGAAAGCATCATCCAGCCAGATTTCATCCAACCATTTCCATCAAGGAAAAGGCAGCAGTTTTCTCACTTCAATGTATACTGTATGTATGTACTTACATTTTCTCTAAATCTTCTCTGAGTATTCTTATTCATGGAACTGAAAACTGTCTTATTTAGAATTATGGGATAGCACTCATCCCTAATTTTTATCAAGAAATAGCAAAATACAGCAATTGTCAACTCCTATGAGTCACTGGTTTTTATTTTACTTCACAAAAAGAATCACATAATTGCTTCTGAAGTATTAGTTATAACAAAAGTTGGATTATATCATCTCACAAGTCTAAAGCAATGTTTTTTAGGAAGTTCAGTATAGTCTAATAAAGAATACATTTAAAGCCCAATTTTTCCAGAGGTAAGATTTGTAGACTTGGGAATCAAGAAGTGACTATAGGTGTGGCTTCTTTCACTATCACCTGCAGGGATCCTCTATTATATTTGTTTTCTGTTCCCAAGTCCTTAGGCTTTATCGATCTGAAAGTTTAGCAAGGCTTTTAACAAGTGATCATATCATTAAGCTGCAAGCCCCTAAAAGGACCTTGTATTCTATTGGAAAGACAGTAAGGCTTCAGTTTTATGAAGGTAGGCTGAGTGACTTTAGGTAGAAGCATGTAATTACTACTTTAGCATAAACTACAGAGTAAGTTTTGGTAAACTGTGCACTAATGTAAAGTTGACAGTCGGTAGGTGATAGTATCTTTCTAAGTGACAACTAAGAAAGTTTGGGCCACTTTTCCAGTTGCTTTAGTCTGCTTTGGATTACTGTAACAAAATAAATGAGGATTACAAAGAGAAAGCTTTATTCAGCTCAGCTTGACAAATTGAAAGTCCATTAGTTCGGTCTCTGTTATGAGGCACGCAATAAACCATAGCAGGAGTAAGTATGTGTGGAAAAGCTATATCACCAAACCAGAAGTCAAGGGACTGGCATCCCACAGTCCCTCACAATGTTATAAGGACCTTCCACTAGATCTCAGTTTCAAATTTTCCACTAATTCCAAGCACAAAGCCTTTAACACATGGACCTTTGTGGGACATCCAATATATAAGCCACAGTACCCAGATTCCTCTTTGTTTCTATAGTTTCCATGGGTCTGGCCACAAGAGAAGAACTCATGAGAGAAGAAAAGCAAGCATGAAATACCAGCATCTTTATACTTCGAAGGTCGGTGTAGAGAACTGAGTAATAGGGCAACCTATGTACTTTGCCCTGGTTTCAGGCTTGCTTCATTTATAAGAAACAAGTCCTGGACCTAGACTCCCACTAACTTTTCTCTTTTGAGTCTGGGGCCAGGAGTTTGTGCAGGCCCTTGTTTAATCTCAATACCTTTTCCTGTAGGTCTTCCAACTTATGTCAGAGACAGTGACAAATAGGAGCAAATTCTACTTTTATTGATGATTTTTCTGCACGTGTCCCAATTCCAGTTGGTGCTAGCTCTCTCCAACTTCATACGCAGCTTTCCCCCTTTTCAGAGAACATGTTCTATACCAGACACAGAGACAACAGCTCTGAAAGGGATTCTCTACCAGCTCTTCACAATTGCATTCATTCTAGTTCCCATAATTAGTTCTTTAATCCATACTATTTACTATTACTCTTTAGTTTATGCTTCTGCCTCTTGTGAGATCCAATTAGTATGAAAAATAGACAAGAAAATTCTACAAGACAATTAAATAGAAAAAAAATGGCTCAAAAAACCCCAGAAGTGTCACACAATTGGGAAAAAAAAGCTAATGGAGGGTGTCCAACTTTATTAACAGCAAAAGGGTACAAATTAAATCATGAGCCACTCTTCATACTAATCAAAGGATCAAATATCAAGATTTCTGACAACTGTAATCATTTTAGAGAATGAATTAGAAATACTGGTAAAGTTTACTAGGGTCATTCTCTAAAGTGTACCAATTCTGCATCTAGAAAGGATTCAAGATGAAAACATACACCTCTCTGACCCCAAAAGATCTCTTCTATTGGGTAATCATACCATTGTACTAATATAGTTCCTTCTGCATAGGTATGGGCTGAATTTAATTACTTTATTCTGAAGGGAATATATGATAGAGGTGATAAGAATGTCAGCTGTAAGATTAGGTTACAAAAAGCCTGTGACTTCTGCTTTAGGAACTCTTAACTCAGAGGTGCAACGGGTATAATCATTAGTTTATCATGAGCTTACCTCTAAAGGTACCCACATGACTAAAATCTGATCAATCTAGACATATCCCACAAGGTCTGTAGGCTAGCCAACAACAACCTGAGTCTGTACTGGATCCTTCCTCTCATGCCTTGAGATGACTGCAGCCCTACCTACTGATGCTTTGTAGAAATATCAGCTCTGAATCAGAGCTTCCCTAAATTATGCTCAAATTCATGATTGATAGGAAGTGTGAGTTAATAAATTCCTCAAAGGACCAAGTTTTAGGGTATTCTGTGAAATGTAAATAGATAACTGATATGCTCTTCAATAATCCAATTACAGCCCTCAGTAGTAATTAAAATTCCTCTTTTTAAATTTTTTAAATGAGTCTATGAAATACTTACAGTCACTCACTTATTCATCATTTCAACTTAACTGAAAATCTAATCTACCAGGTCCTGATCTGGAGATAAAATCATTCAGCACATCCTAAACCTATGACCTTATAGACATTCACAAGCCAATAATAAATAAGTAAAAATTATTCTGAATGTCAGATAAGAGTTGTAGAGAAAAACAAAGTAAAGAAGCAAAGAAGGGAAAGCTAGGCCAACAGAGAGGCAGAGGTTTTTAAAAGACCTCCTCTGAAAAGGTGACACAAGAACAAAAACAAGCAGGTGAGAGGCAATGATTCATAAAGAACCAAAGTACATTCCACATGCAAGAAAAGACAAGGGAAGCATGAAGCATCTACATCAGGAGGTAAAATAGCCAGTGCTGCATCTAAGGAACACTTTTTCTTTCAAAGAACATTGAACAAAAGGAGTTCCTGGTTCTTGATGGGAGTAACATCATGACTGTGTTTTAAAATGATCACCCTAACTACGGAGCTGAAAAGATTGTGCCTCATGATTAAGGAGTGGGGAGCCTCAATGAGGTAAGCAGAAAAGCAAGGGCACTAGGGCAGAAATTCTGATAATAATACCAGGGAGTATGGTGGTACAGACAAGGTTGGGAAATAGGAAAGTACAAGTAGAAAATGGTCAGATTCTGGAAAAAGAATATTCCTTAGATTCAATTAAATTAGTTTGTAAGGTGCATATGTATAACTGTCCACTGAAGGCAAATAGCTAGGTAAGTCACTGAATCAGAAGAATTCATGCTTTATTAACTCTACTTTCAAATGAATGGTATCCATACTCCCTTCTCTGTATCCACTGCTAGTGCATCATTTATAGGAACTAAAAACTAATTTCAGTGACATATTAATGATTTTAAATGACTTTTATTTCTTTAGCTATGTCATATTTTAATTAGCAGAAGATTGTTTACATGACAAGTCAGTTTTGAAACAATTATGCATTAGGTTAACTGTGACAGTTACTTAGCATTCCACTCCTTTGGAGTAACTCTACCAATAGGAGATAGGTTCCACGGTATTTCCATCTGTGTGATATAAAACACATATCCAACAAAACAGAAAACAGATCCACTAATTAGCAAAATATTGCCATATTTGTTATGAAAATCGGCTGAGGGCTTTGTTTGGCTCTGTCTTGTCATAATTTGCTGAATACTTCGAAGCTTGAGACTATTTAGTACATATCTGGCCAAGGGAAACATCTTGCAGGAGACAGGATTTTTATTGATTGCAGCAACAGGTCTATTTCCAAAGCCCTGGAAAAAACAAAACAAAACAAAGGACAGGAAGGTCAATGACATTTGATCTCAGATCCTTCCTTTTCGGATGTTCACTAGGCCCCTTAGAAGCTGTAGTTAAAGAATGTGAGGAGCTTTTTCAGTGTGTGCATATGTTTGTATGTACTCATGTCACTTTCTAGCTTACTTTTTGAGACAAGGTCTCTCATACTGAACCTCATGGTTTCAGCTACACTGGTTGGCAAAGGAGCCCAGGATCTGCTATCTCTGTCTCCTTAAGGCTGGGATTATACATGAGCATGGCCACACCCTGCACTTAGATGGGTGCTAGAGACAAGCACATAAACCATTGGGCCATGTCTCCAACACCAAGATTGAGAGTTTATATATGTCTGGAGGTTTTGTTTGTTTGCTTGACACAGGGTCTCCCTGTGGCCCCAGCTGGCCTAGAACTTGATATAGAGACCAGAATAGGCTTCGTCTCACAAAGACCTGTCTGTCTCTGCCTCCCAAGTGCTGGGATTTAAAGGGGCGTGCCACCACACTTGGCTATGATGATGTCTGGATTTCAATTTCAGTTATTGGTTTACTAAGGAAATTTGGACAGTTATTAAATAACCTTTTGTCTCAGTTTCATCAGTGTCACACTGAGATACCAATACTGGGAAGACACGTGATAACCCAAAGGAACAACAAGGTAAATACAGTGTTAGCTTTTTCACTCAACAAAAACATGTACTTCTCCATAGAGGGTTCAACTTAGCATGAGTCCCAAAATGATTACTTAGAACTTAACCCTAAGTAGTATCTACTATATAGTCTGGATTTCAGTTAAGAATTATAAAGGAATCACAGAATATGTCATACCTCCCTCCTCTTCTTTTACTTCCCCCTGTTCAAACCCCTCCCTCTGCCCCATTCCTCTCTACCTGTGATTCTTACCTTCTCTTTCTTACAGGCCAAATTCTACTTGACTTTGAAATGCCAACCTAAAAGTCTCTGGATTATGTCAAGTCTTTTCCAAACCTCCCTATGCTGAATAAGCCTGTGTTCCGGACTACTGCTTTTCTTACTTTCATCATAACATTTGACATAAAGCATTACATTGGTAGGGTGGGTGAGACAGAGTCTCCCTGTAGCCCCAGCTGGCCTGGAACTCACTACATAGATCAGGCTGGCCTGCCTTCCTAGCACTAGGATTAAAGGTATGCACCACCAAACCTGGACATTATTATTTTTTTTAGTAGACTTTAATACTTAAAGCTGTTCAGAGCAAATTAGGAATGTTCCAGTTTCATCTATGTTGCTGTGATAAAACACTCTGCCCAAAAACAACTTGGGAAGGAAGGGGTCTATTTCAGCTTATAGGTTACAAGTCTATCACAGAGAGAAGTCAGGGCAGAAACTTGAAGCAGAAAGCACAGAGCAAGGAATGCTGCTTGGTGGCTTACTTGCAGGCTCATGCTTAGCTAGCTTTCTTATATAACCCAGGAACACCTGATCAGGGAATGATACTGCCCAATGTGGGCTTGGCCTTCCTACATGAATTACCAACTAAGACAATCCCCCACAAACATACCCTCAGGCCAAGCTGATCTAGGAAATCATCCCTCAATTGGATACTCCCTTCTCCGGAGACACTAGGCTGTCTCAAGTTAACAACTAAAGGTAATTAGGACAGTGAGAAACTACAGTTCTCAAATACCCTTTGCTGAGTCCACGTTATCAAAGTCTCCCAGCTCTCAGTATCTGTTACCAAAATGGGACATGTGTTACCACTGATGAACCTATCATCCACTGTCATCCAAACGGGTATTTTACATTAGGATGCATTCTTGACGTTACATACTCTGGAGGCTATGGCAAATATGTGATGAGGTATGCATTCCTAATTACAGTATTATACAGAGTAGGTACATCACCCTAAACATACCCTCTGGACTTGGCCTATTCATCCTTTGTTGTCTAACTCTAATCCTTTCACTGACTTCAGTTTCATACTTCCCAGAATGCCATACACTGGAATCATAAGCTATTCCAGATTTGTTTCTTTATTCATTTTTTTTCAGGGTTTAATAGTCCCTTCTTTTTATTGCCACATAGCATTTCATTATCTGGATATACTGGCTACAATTAAAGATATGTATCCATTTTCTTACTGAAGAACTGTTCTAGTTTGTTTACCCATTGTTGTGACAGAACACTTTAACAAATACCAACTTGGGGAGGAAGTTATATTTTGCTTACATCTCCCGGATCACAGTTCATCACTGAGAGAGCCCAAGGTAGGAACTCAGAGAGGAACTTGGAAGCAAGAGCTGGCCATGGAAGAACACTGCTTACTAGGCTTGTTCCCCTGCTCAGCCTGCTTTCTTATACAACGTAAGCCCACCTGCCCAGGGGTGGCACCACCCTCAGTGGGTTGGGCCCACCTGTAGCACTCAACAATCAAGAAGATGCCCTGTAGATATGGGCACAGGCCAGTCCAATGGAGGTAATTCCCCAATTGAGGCACCTTCAATCCAGGTGTGGCAAGTTGACAACTAAAACTGTCAAGCACAAGAACATATTCTTAAAATACTATAAACATCCATGTGTAAGTTTTTGTGCATTCCTTTTTTCAGCAATTTCATGTAAGTGTCAAGAGGAATAATTTCCAGATCACATAGTAAAAATAGGTTTAATTTTGTAAGAAAGTGCCTAACTGCCTTCTAAAATATCCGTGTCATTTTTCATTCCCACTGGCCATGAATAATAGTCCAAGGTCCCCATTCTTACTAGCATGAAGTGAAAGTGTTAGTTTTGTATTTTAGTCATTCTTAAAGATGTATAGGTTGTATAATTTATAATCCCCTTGCTAACATATGGTGATGAACATCTTTTCATATACTTATCTAATATCTATATATCCTCCTTGGTGAGATGCCTGTTTTAAACTGTTTATCCATATTTTATCAGATAGTTCATACCATTATTGTTGAATTTTAAGGATTCTTCGTATATTTTGAATAACATTGTTCTATCAAGTATATTCTTTATAAATGATTCTTACACTATAGCTAGCCTTATCATTGTTTTCAGGAATTATATCCATAGAGTAAGTAGGGATCTCAAAAAGTAAAGGATATAAATTTCCATACGGTAGACTGACAAAAAAGCATAGAAAACACTTTTGAACCAATTCAAAATATAAGCATTGATATCACCAGAAGAATCTAAAATAAATACCAATACATGCAAATTAACAAAATCTGATGCACATTTCATAATATCTCTGATGATTTTACCTCTTAGTTGCAAAAAGATCCCAAGACATCTTGAAGCCCAAACACACTGAAGAATTCTATATTTCCCTCTTCCTTTGTGTAAGCTGTCAGACAACATCCAGACTAGCAATGGCGTGCATTAACTGTGGCTCGAGTGTAGGCAACATGCATTAAAAAGGCCTGAGGTCAGTTCTTACAAACTCCTAAGTACTGATTTGCACACTAAGGTGACTTTCTGACCTAGAAAAGAGGAACTTGATGTTCTCTTGGACGTCCTACCATATGACATGCTACTTGCTTCATGATTGTGGCAAAGAAGACTAAAAGCCAAGTGACCTTCTTCTGAGGTTTTGAACATTGAAAGTTGTTTGGTATTAGGCATGATTCTCTCCATCACAAGGAACCAAATTTGAATTTATGATGATTTCAGAGTAATCTGAAAGTCACACTGGCCCAAGTATGATAGGTATAGGCTTAATCCAATACAAAATCGTCTATGTTACACATTGTTTTCAGTCTGTAGTAAGGAATGTTGATCAGAGAGCCATTTGTGAAAACTGGGATCTCTAATGGGTATGTCACATGCCTGCTGCTTTATAAAAAATTCATTATTCCTCACAATGTGAAGTTGCAACTCACATACTTTGCACTCCACTAGCACTAATTGTATTCCATGATAACTTACGTCATCTCTTGGCTATTCCCATATCTATGAAGTTCTTCTATCTACCCTGAGTTTATTTGTAATTAAGTTAGTTTCCATAATTAAGACTTTACTTTTAGAAATTCTTTCTGTAGTATTTATCTAGCATTCCTTCCTATAATCAAATATTGCTGTTATGGTTTGAATGTAAAACTTTGCTGAAGGAAGTAGATTTTTAGATCAGGCCCTGAGGTTTATAAGGTGCTGCTTTGTATCTTGTGCTCTTGTCCCATCTTTCTGTCATGTGTCCTGATCCATCCAGTTCTCACTCCATGGCTAGTACCCACTCTTGTCACTATACCTACCCCACTATGATGGACTCTTATCAACTGTGGTACAGAATAAATCCTTCAAGTTGTTTCTGAAGGTATTCTGTTACTGTGATGAGAACTGTAACTTACATAAGTGCAATCTTTTCATTCTTTTTCCCTGTTGGTATCAGTGACATTTGTCTCACTATCTTCATACATTTCTTCACAAAGCATATGAGAAAACTAAGAACCCATTGATTAGAGACATTTTTCCACTTTGCTTAACTCCACTTGACATACCATAATGAATTCTGTGTGGTCATGCATCCTAAGCCTATTACCCAAAGAATTAGAACTATAACCTCTAATGTCTGTATGAAAGTATAAAATGGAAAGTTCTGTTGCAAGTAAAGTAAATGCATCCCAAAGTAGAGTTTTTGATGAAAACAGACAACAAAGAGATAGATGAAGACAGATTTCTCTAAATAATAAGAACCAAGTAAAGCTTCCATGCCTGTGGCAACAAATTTTTTAAAAATGTGTTCTGAATAAATATAAACAGTTAAAAGAAGTGCAGTGCTTTATAATGATAAAAAGGAAAGACTATGTCACCTATTTCATATGATAATGTTTAAGCTTAGCTCAAGAGAAAAAAGCTACTGCTAAGAAGAAAGTATAAAGATTTGAAACTTCACTGGTAACAATAGTAATTTCAAATCAATAAAGAACATAACATGAGATATA